AAAACGGCTTAACGATAGTTTTGTTTCTTACAAACATGCAGCTTTTGTCTTCTCAAGACATTAATTACACAAGCTTCAGTCTGGATCCAACCCTTAAAAGTTCTGAGATGACCAAACACCTGAGAAGAGATGATGCCAACCCTGAAACAACATACAGAACTACCACATTTTGCTATAAGTTTGATTGCAACATATAATCATTGCTGTTAATAGTGTTCATCGTCTGCTTGATTACGTCATTAACTGATTTTTACCGGACATTTCTGACACTTGACATAGTCACCACTGATAAGCTACTACTAAATATATTGTAGAAACGGAATTTCCTGTAAAGCTGCTTTGCAACGATTTGTATCGTGAAAAGCGCTATACAAATAAACTTGAACTGAATTGAATTAACTGATGGACTGGAGTGATGTGGATTACTTGTGGATTATTGTGATGTTTTTATCAGCTGTTTGGACTCTCATTCTGACGGCACCCATTCACTGCAGAGCATCCATTGATGAGCAAGTGATGCAATGACACATTTCTCCAAATCTGATGAAGAAACAAACTCAGCTACATCTTGGATAGCCTGAGTCCTGAGTCCTGGGTGAACGATTAATTTAACAGACACACAAGCAGATCGTACATTCAAACACTGGCACGGTAACACAATCTCACCAGCATGTAGATTTATTCATTTGTTTAAGGCTCAATGTGTCTCAAGTCATGAAGATACGCTCCGATCTGTCTGTTTCACTCAGGCCGGATGGCTGGTCAGTTCCGTGCATAGATTCAAACACACAACCGTAACAGCAAAATCACTGGAGTAAAGCTCAGTTGGATGCGAGTGAATAGATGTTTAGTTATGTAAGGCATTATCAGCTGATTCACTCACTGGAGTTCAATCAATCTGAGCAAAACAACACACGTTTAAAAGAACAGTAAGTGCACACGTTACAGGACAACTAATCAATCCTTAGGATTGGAACTACAACACCCCATGATGAGATGACAGTAATACAGCATGCTTTACATCAGCGCTTCTCAGCTGGGTTTGCTTCAGGACCAGGACTATAACCACCAAAGACGGTAAGTCCTCCCCAATGATTAGAAATGGCCAAATTGTCACCCTAATAATGTAAATTCTTGCACTGATCTGCTGCTCTCCATTACACAGTGCTGTTTGTTGTTAGGATGACAAAAAGGTTTTAAAATGACTGCAATGGCCAATCAAATCAAAGTAGGCGGGGCCTAACAGTTCACAGACGCAGAGAGGTACCAAACATTTAATATTTTAACTGTTTTACGATAGAAATGTTAAACAACAGTAATATTCAGGGATACAAACTACTCAACTTTTTTTTTGTAAATATGGCCATTTTGAATTGAAAATATGGTATCATTTACATGATTAATGTACTTCCTAACTGAATGTGACGGGACAAGAAACGTTGTGTTTTCAACATATTAGGCATACAAATAATAGTGCATGTGTTTAAAATATTATTTGCAAATAGTTCAAACTGAACAACTAGAATTAGACCCAGAATTCACATATTCTATTTTTTCATGTTTTATTATAAAAATAAAATTGCTCGCTCTCAATGTTCAAGACATGGTTAGAGAGAAGATTTGACACACACACACATATATATACAAACCCAATTCCAAAAAAGTTGGGACACTGTACAAATTGTGAGTAAAAAAGGAATGGAATAATTTACAAATCTCATAAACTTATATTTTATTCACAATAGAATATAGATAACATATCTGAAACAGAAACATCGTCAGAAGCATCTTACCTGGGCTAAGGAGAAAAACAACTGGACTGTTGCTTAATGCTCCAAAGTCCTCTTTTGAGATAAAAGTAAATTTTGCATTTCATTTGGAAATCAAGGTCTGAAGTCTGGAGGAAGACTGGAGAGGCACAGAATCCAAGCTGCTTGAAGTCCAGTGTGAAGTTTCTGAAGTTAGTGATGATTTGGGGTGCCGCGACGTCTGCTGGTGTTGGTCCATTGTGTTTTATCAAGTCCAAAGTCAATGCAGCCGTCTACACCATGAGATTTTGGAGCACTTTATGCTTCCATCTGCTGACAAGCTTTATGGAGATGCTGATTTCCTTTTCCAGCAGGACTTTAGCACCTGCCCACAGTGCCAAAACCACTTCCAAGTGGTTTGCTGACCATGATATTACTGTGCTTGATTGGCCAGCCAACATGCCTGACCTGAACCCCATATGGAATCTATGGGATACTGATGCTGGAGTTTGTGTTAACGGAGCCCCGACCAAGTATTGAGTGCAGAAATGAACTTGAACTTTTCTGTTTTGCAAATCCTTTTTTTTTTTTTATTGATCTTAGGAAATATACTAATATTGTAGATACTGGATTTTTGACTTTCATGAGCTGCAAGCTCTAATCATCAAAATTAAAACTTCCAACTTTTGAAATGTTTTACTTTACATGTAATGAATCTGGAATATATGAAAGTTTCACTTTTTTAAGTTACACAAAAAAAGGCACTTTTTCACGATATTCAATTTTTTTGAGATGCACCTGTACTGTGTGTGTATATATATATATATTATATAGCGCCAACAATGTCAAATTATTAATGATATGAGCAAAAGTGTCACATATAGTGTGTCTAAGTTACATTATTTGTATGCCATTTTAATTACTTTTTATTGATTTATACTATTATTATTATTATTTAGTATTTATTAGAACAGGCCTGCAGATCAATTTTGGGGTTGTGACCCACCAGTTGAGAACCACTGATTTAGATCATACAGTACGTGGATAAACTGCTGCTTACCATGGGATGGTAATAACTTTACTAACCCACATCTCTCTCTGACGGGACTCGCGCTGCATTAGTATATTAATACTGTCCACCTTATTTTTACTGTAGGAACGGATGCAGCCATTTATAACTTGAATGTGTGAGGCTTCCGGTGTCATTCATGTCCTGCTATTTTAGCCCTTAAAGCAGTCTAGTATGATGCTTGATTTCAAACTGGTATTTGTTATCATATTATTTAAATTTATTATCACAGTCTTAAATACACTGGATTGTAGTGCAAATAGTTTTACTGTTTACTGCATGTTGTTATTCTTGTATATACAGTGGTTACCTAATGAATCAGAAGTCTCACACATTCACAGAAATGACCTTACTAAGCTGCACAATAAGGTGGACATTTAACACTGAGACAAGTCCTACAGTCCAGATCTGGATTTTTCCTCCAGTCACTGAACACACAAACCTACAAACACTGAATACTGCAAACTTGCCATGTGCGGTAAAACATGCAAAATACAGACCATCACATCAGTACAGAAGAACTGAGTCCTGCAGCTGAAGTCGAACACATCATGCAGTGAGAAATCTGAGTAACACAGTGAGTAACTCCCTCCAGGGACGCTGCAGAGACAAGTCTCTCTCTAGGTGGGACAGAGCACTGTGAAAGAGAAATCATGATCAAAATCATCAGATGAGTGTCTGCTTATATGTTATAGTAAAGGGAGAAACTAAAGGAGATTTTCTGAAGAATCTTAAAGGGATAGTTCACCCAAAAATGAAAATTCTGTCATTAATTACTCACCCTCATGTTGTTCTAAACCCGTAAGACCTTCGTTCATCTTCGGAACACAAATTAAGATATTTTTGATGCATTCTGACAGCTCTCTGACCCTCCCATAGACAGCAAAGTAATTACCACGATCAAGGTCCAGAAACGTCCAAAAATAACGACTTTATTCAACAATTCGTCTCCTCCGCGTCACCCTAGCGCCATTTTGGAGAGTATCAGCTGGACGTAAAAAGCGTATGCTGTTCTGTGTCAGCCGCACCACACGGATACGTTGTTTTCGTTCAAATCAAAGCGTAAACAATGTCGAAAAATTATCCGCGTGACGCAGCTGACACAGAATATCATACGCTGTTTGCATTCAGTGGATACTCTCCAAAATGGCGCTAGGGTGACGCGGAGGAGACGAATTGTTGAATAAAGTCGTTATTTTTGTTTTCTTTGCGCACAAAAAGTATTCTCGTGGCTTCGTAAAATTACGGTTGAACCCCTGATGTCACATGGATTATTTTACCGATCTCCTTGCTACGTTTCTGGACACTTGATCGTGATAATTGCTGTCTATGGGAGGGTCAGAGAGCTGTCAGAATTCATCAAAAATATCTTATTTTGTGAAAAAAAAGCTTTTGCTGTTGAACTTTTGCATGGAGTCTTCAGAAATTCTCCTTCTACATTACTGGTTGAAAGTTTAGAATAATTGGAATAAAATGTTTTTGAAAGAAGACTCCTCTGCTCACCAAGGCTGCATTTATTTGATTAAAAATGCAGTAAAAACAGTAATATTGTGAAATATTCGTACAATTTAAAATAGCTGTTTTCTATGTGAATATATGTTAAAATGTAATTGATTGCTGTGATCAAAGCTGAATTGATGCTGAAAATTCATCTTTACATCACAGCTATAAATTACATTTACAATATAGTAACACAGAATACAGTTATTTTAAATAGTAATAATACTTCACAATATTACTGTATTTTTGATTAAAAAATGCAGTCTTGGTGAGAAGAAGAGACTTCTTATGAACAGTAGTGCATATACAAGTCATACACATTACATGAGGGTGAGTAAATAATAACAGAATTCACAATTCTTTTCTTTAGACATGTGTTGGGCCACTAAAAAGAGACTAAACTGAATCACTCAGCAGTGAATGCTATCTGTTGCTATAGTAACGGCAGGGAGACACATTATATAGCAAACACAGGCACAGTGTGATCTAAATGCTCATCATATTACTCATTAACTACACCTCTTACAAACCTCACAGCAACAGAAGAGAAGATGCCATGCAGACAGTGAACAGCTTAAATGTGAGCAGAGCAAAATAATTCTACATTAAGGGGACTTTTCATGATGATTAGTTAGGGTGTCAATTAAGTTTGCCTTTGCAAACAGTACAACACGATCACTATTTATTACCATTCAGAATTAAATTGAGAGCAAACAGGATGCAGAATTGTAATCTGTCAAATCTCTAAATTTAGAGATATATATCCATAAAGTTTCCGTTATGGAATAAAAAAAACGACATTTCATCTCACAATGCTGACTTTCTTTCTTTAACATCTCAGAATTGCGAGTTTATGTCTTGCGATCGAAAGTTATAAACTCATAGTTGTGAGTTAACATCTCGCAATTCTGACTTTTTTCTCCGAATTTTAAGTTATATCTCGCAATTTTGAGTTGTAAACTCAATTGTGCTAACATCAACAATTAACAAATGCAACTCTGTATCTCGCAATTTCGACTTTTAAACGTGCGATTGCGCGTTTGCATCTCACAATTCTGAGAAAAAAAACCTTTGAACTGCGAGAAAGCCTAAACTCACAAATTTTTAAGAATAAAAGTTAGAACTGTGAGATTAAAAGTTATAATTACGTTACAATTTTTTGTCCTGTGGTGGAACCACGAAAAATCTACAGAAATAATGTAATTAAAATAAACTTCTAAAGCTATTCCACTAACTCTACATAACCACTTTTTGAACATACTTTTTAATAAATTATTTTATAATACTGAAGTGTCATGTTAAACAAAACTGGCTTTGCAGACACTGAAAAATGAGCGCCTTTTCCACTGTGAACACATCAGTTTTGTTTTGTTGCTATGTTACAAATTATTTTACACTTAAATTTTTGCTCTCTTTCATGAAAAACTCATTATATCCATATATCTCACCGGCACAGGGACACCTTCACACAATTAATGCACTGTGGGATTTTCTGTTATATATTTAGCATTCTGATGTCAATAAAGTTATCTGAATGCAGTGTATGGCAATATCACACGTATGGCGTGTTGTAAAACTTGCATTGAACTAATAAAACTTCTCACATTTCTTAAAATTAAAATTTCTTTCTGCCAATCCAATTCAACATCCTGTTCCTTGTGACCAATTCGATTTCAATTCAAACTCATTAACTGAAAGAAAGCCAAAATAGTGCTGCAGGGATGATGTTTTTTTTTTGTTTTTTTTTATGTTTAATGCCTTAAAGGGATAGTTCACCCCAAAATGAAAATTTGATGTTTATCTGCTTACCCCCAGGGCATGGGGTGAACTATCCCTTTAAATTCATCACAGTAAACAGATCAACTCTAGTCGCTTTCACAGCCTCATTGTGTTTGTTGTCACACTCTAAACTATTCTAACTCCAACTTTCAGGAAAAATATTTTATTTAAAATAAAGACAGAAAGACTAATGGTGGTGACGCTGAAGTCATGTGACCAATAGTGGTTGGTTTATAGCCTATGTTTAGCTTTTTACTTCTGCTGACTGTATTAAGGTTTTGAAATTCATCAAAGTTGCATTCATTTGTGAAGATTATCATGATGAACTAAACATGTAAGAATCATTAACTTTTGTTAGTCACAGATCTTATTTACTGCAATATTCCAAAATCCTACTGGGTTTTGTCGGGTGAATCAGGGTGATGTGAACTTAGGGTTTGGCCTACAAAAACATGTCATCAATGCAGCACTCTATTCTTAAATAGTATGCATTCGGTTCGTTGTACTGCTGTTACCTTTGAGGATGTAGTCTGTGAGGAGGCTTGGGACTTTATCGCTGTCATCTCTCATGGCTTCTAAAACTGTAGGAAAGCACATGTCATGATTTAAAGTACGTGCATGCTACTAACAACCTGCGGCAGAAAAAAACAGGGTATTCATGTTAAATAAAAGCACTTTCTCTCACTTTTGGTAAAAATCTGAAGGTCTTGGAGTGACGGTGGTCCGTCTTTTCTCTCGTAAGGGATGACTGTTGTTACATACTGAATAAAAGCACAGATGAGAGGAGTTGGACATGCCAGACAGACATGGGATCGGTCTCAAAACATCTGCACAGTCTTGGAAAATCTACTTAGAACTTGTTTAAAATGTACAATCTCTTTATATACATTTCTGCAATCACAGTAGTATTTTGTGATGCAACAACAATGAAGATGTATATATATATGTATATATATATATATACAATGTAAGATCTCTTTTAGGGTGGCCACATTAAACCTGAACAGATACATTTACATGAAATACAACTAAGTAACCTGATTGACAGAACGCCTATAATGGCCAAAAAGATCAAGTGGTATCCAGCTGGCAAGGTTTCTGCAGATACTGTATTAGATGTGAATTTTAGGAGCAGATTCGACACTCCCAGAAGAGCAGAAAAGAGAAAGCCAGAGATATAGGCACCTGTTTCTCCCCGCGCACATTGCCAAAAGTGTGGCGAAAGCCGTTCTGAATGGCAGAAGAGATTCCCTCCATGCTGAAGCGCTACAGGCACAGAACAGAAGAGAGAGAGCGGGACAGAAAGAACAGAATGAAAGAGAAATCAAATCACATCAGCTACAGCAAGAGGTATCTGAGGAAGAAGAAAGAGCTCGTCAAAAACCTGGAAAAGATGTGTTTCCAGACCAGCAGCCACTTGTGATTGGATTTTGTCAAAGTGGGTTTGGGTTGTGATGGGCATCGACATATAAACACTGAACAACACACATACATAGAGCTCATCAAATACAGTATGGTAAACTAAAGCTCAAACATGCTCAAGCGCGGTTGAGATTCTTTACCATTTTTGATGAGCTCTATGTATGTGTGTTGATGTTTATATGTGAATGAAAACCTAAATTAAATCTGTTCAGAGGACTTGGATTAAACTGCTCGATTCATGCCTTACATTTTCTATGTCTTGCTGCAGCTTGACAATTTTGCTTGCATGGACTTTAATGAGTGGATGAGAAATGATAAGAAAATATAAAAAATGGCTTCTCTTGTGTTCTCTAGATAAGTCTTATGGGTTTGAACTTACCCTTTAAAGTCTGCATGAAGTTATGAACGACTTAACTACAATAGTTTGACATATTTCCAAGTGGGGCTTTTTGAAAAAAAAATAAAATAAAATAATAATAATAAAATAAAATAATAAATGGGACTTGATTTTCTCAAATTGCAAACATTTTTATTACAAGATTTCTGAAATGATAGGTTTAAATATGCAAATCAGGCACTATATATTTAAATACGCACTAATTTACATACATTACCTGAACAGAAATCTGGATAAAGCCAGGTTTAAAAAATCCTCTTTTATTTTGCTGACATATTAGAGTTATGTTTTTACAGAGGGGATTTTGGAAAAATGTTGACAATATTTTCTAATTCATGGAGTCATAAAAAGAGATTTCCTCATTTTATAACTCTATAAATCCGAAAATACATCCAGAAAATCAACATGTTTTTAGAAATAAAATGTATAAATCATGTAAATGATATATGAACAAACAAAATCTATATAGGAATAAAACTGTAAAAACTGGTGTTATTTAAGTGCTACTGAAAAGGAGAAACAACTCAAACGGCCTTTAAAGATCTGCTTTGTAATTCAAATATCTGGATGCAAATTGATAAATAATTTGTTCAATAAGATAAACAAATAAATTGTTCAATAAGATAAACACTTCGCCCAAGAATAGTTCACCCAAAAATGAACATTCTGTCATCATTTACTCACCAAACAGATGATGGTCCCCATTCACTTCCATAATTTGGAAAAAAAATATTATGGAAGTCATTGGGGACCAGAAACTGTTTGGTAACCAACATTCTTCAAAATATCTTAAATGTTCAACAAAAGAAAGAAAATTCATACGGGTTTGGAACAACTTGAGGGAGAGTAAATGATGACAGAATTTTCTTTTTTGAATGAATTATCCCTTTAAAAGTGTATTTTGGATGTTTCAAAAATCTCAAAAGTGACCAGTATAAAAAAAATAAAATAAAATAAAATAATAAATGGGACTTGATTTTCTCAAATTGCAAACATTTTTATTACAAGATTTCTGAAATGATAGGTTTAAATATGCAAATCAGGCACTATATATTTAAATACGCACTAATTTACATACATTACCTGAACAGAAATCTGGATAAAGCCAGGTTTAAAAAATCCTCTTTTATTTTGCTGACATATTAGAGTTATGTTTTTACAGAGGGGATTTTGGAAAAATGTTGACAATATTTTCTAATTCATGGAGTCATAAAAAGAGATTTCCTCATTTTATAACTCTATAAATCCGAAAATACATCCAGAAAATCAACATGTTTTTAGAAATAAAATGTATAAATCATGTAAATGATATATGAACAAACAAAATCTATATAGGAATAAAACTGTAAAAACTGGTGTTATTTAAGTGCTACTGAAAAGGAGAAACAACTCAAACGGCCTTTAAAGATCTGCTTTGTAATTCAAATATCTGGATGCAAATTGATAAATAATTTGTTCAATAAGATAAACAAATAAATTGTTCAATAAGATAAACACTTCGCCCAAGAATAGTTCACCCAAAAATGAACATTCTGTCATCATTTACTCACCAAACAGATGATGGTCCCCATTCACTTCCATAATTTGGAAAAAAAATATTATGGAAGTCATTGGGGACCAGAAACTGTTTGGTAACCAACATTCTTCAAAATATCTTAAATGTTCAACAAAAGAAAGAAAATTCATACGGGTTTGGAACAACTTGAGGGAGAGTAAATGATGACAGAATTTTCTTTTTTGAATGAATTATCCCTTTAAAAGTGTATTTTGGATGTTTCAAAAATCTCAAAAGTGACCAGTGCATGAAAAAGCAATAGTTTTTCCTGGAGTGACTTGTCTTAAGAAAACAAATAGGGTCAATTTTATCCTAAATAAAAGTTTTTGTTTACATAATATATGTGTGTGTACTGTGTATATTTATTATGTATATATAAATACACACACATACAGCATATATTTTGAAAATATTTACATGTATATATTTTAGGGATGCACCGAAATGAAAATACGTGATGCAGCACAAAACAGTCTCTCGCTGTCGGTGCTTCGTGCTTGTAATGATTCCTGCGTCTTTCTCTGATAGTTTTAAATACTTTCACACTGCCGACATGTTTGCTGAATTAGTGCGTGCCTCTATTTCATCGCGTTAGTCATTGTTCGGTACATATTATTCGGCCTTTTCGCTTATTCGGCCGAACACCAAAAGATAATTTTTTTGCTATTTTCGCCCGAATAATTTCAGTTGCCGAACATTCGGTGCATCCCTAATACATTTATATTCATATAATTTATATCAAATATATTTAATATATAAACATAACATATTTTTCTTAAATATATACATGCATGTGTGTGTATTTATATATACATGATAAATATACACACATATATTATGTAAACAAAAAACGTTTATTTTGGATACGATTAATCGCGATTAATCGTTTGGCAGCACTAATAAAAACACAAATACTTCCGCTAAACATCCCAATCTAGCGACTCACAGAAGACGGCAGCCTCTCTGATGCAGACGCGCTCTTCACTTTCCTCTTCTTTTTCAGCATCTCTCGGTGGACCTTCTGCCGGTTCTGTACGTCTATGAGAACCGCGATGAAGCTGTTCTTCACCTCCTTCTCAAACTCCAGCTCATCTCTGATGGCCAGCTGCTGGATGAGCTCCTCTGAATACCTGCGTATGGCCGTCTCCACATCCTCCAGCTCATCGTTCAGCTCCAGCGCAGACATCAGCCTCACTCCTGCACAGACAGCACACCTCAGACACGCCTCCACAGCCCTACACCTGACCTCCAGAGGGACGTACTCACGCTCCTCGGAGATCTGGCTGCTGTGAGACCTCTGTGTCTTCTGAGAGATGAGCGAGAGCTCTGAGTGTGGAGCGATCCGCGCCGATTCCATCTCTGGGGAGTCCTGCATGAGCTCCTCTAGCTCCTCAATCACCTAAAGATGCATTCAGATTTGAACAAAAACACAGTAAAAAAAGTTCAATTGTGAAATATTATTGCAACTTAAAATAACTGTATATGAATATCATTTAAAATGTGATGTATAGCAAAGCAGAATTTTCAGTATCCATTACTCAAGTCTTTAAAATAGGTTTAATCATTTTATTTAAAGGTGACATATCATGAAAATCTGACTTTTCCAGGTTTTAAACATCATTAATGTTTTTACTGTCACTTTGCGTCCTTGATAAATAAAAGTATTAATTTATAAGTATTAAAAGAAATAATAAAAGTATTCATGTATTTTTCTTGTACTATTCTAATGTTTGTTTGTAATGTTCAATTGACGTTCATTTCTCAAAAGTAAAGTGTCCATGAGCTATGGAAAGGCGCTGTATGAATTATACATTTCAAAGGTCTGGGGTCAGTATTTGCTTGGCCAATTGTTTCCTGGTTCTTTTGATCGTACAGCTCTTTGATTGTTTGTGAGGAGTGAGGTTGGGTCCTCACCTGTTCAGCAGTGAGCAGCGGCTCCTCGTTGATGCAGGACACGATGATGGAGTGCATGTCCATCTGCTCCCTCAGGTCCTCGTCATCAGACAGGTCCAGGTTCACACTCTCCATCCGCTGAAGGACCGAGACAGAGGAAGAGTTACTGCGGGGCTGAATGCCGTCACTGTCAGTGGACACAGGCTCGAGACTGAGACTCACAGCTCTGTCCTCAATGCTCAGCGCTGAGAGGTGAAGTGAGCGAGCTTTAGACTGACTCCAGTCCACCGGCATCACACTGCCATAGCTATCTGTGAGAGCCTCCCAGATCCTGCATGAGCAAAACCCCATTCACACACAGAAGACACAAAGAGCCAATAACCCTTCAAGTGCATGTAGATATAGAATGTTTTCAAACTTATTCACAATGGCTAATTTTTTACATTTGGTCAAAAAACTGTAATTTTAGAACAGTAACTTTACTGTACACTTGTATACCTTTTTACACTTTCATAATTTGAAGTGCGTTCACTTCAGCAATAATCTGCTCATCATGTACCTTGTATAAACTATTACTGTACAACTGTTTCAGTTCTGCTTCATGATGAATACTGCTTGTATATATGAGACACAGTAAACAACATCCACAGTCACGTGACTGGAATTCTTCACGGCACGCTGACATAATAATCACACTCTTGGCTATCAGCAAGGTATCATCTGCGCACATTTTACAAGATGAACCATGATACATTTGATTTTATTCCATTCCAGCATCCTGTCATGACTCACGCGCTCATTAGACGCCGTTACTATGCGCTTGCAGAATGTCTCCAATGGTCCACTGATGAAAATAACAACCATGATGATGCACATTAATACACTGATGCAGGCTTTTCTTTACTTACTCATCGCATTTCAGGGTCGTATCCTCATTTATCGGCGTCAATAGATTTATTGCGTCCGGTTTAGTGTTTACATTTTGGAAGCATAATTGTAACTTCTCGTCGAAGTGTGTGATCATGTCCTCTGTGTAAGGGCTCGTCTCAAACGCGAGCTCTGTGACAGAAACCCCATCCAGCAGCAGCGACATCTCTTCAGCGTTCACTCGAACCCGCTCCAGATGAATATTGCGTCCCGTTCCGCTCTTGAATGCGTTAAAATCGTGCCACTCATCGTCATCTCGCCGCGCTGAAGGCTCCGCCATAACTGCAACTGGAGAGATGTGCTCGGTACCGACGAACCCTACTACGGCGAAAACACAGCTCATGAATATTAATTAGAACATACTTGCGCTGCGTAGAAACCTTTCGAGTCCAGTAGCGTAAACTAATTAATATTCATGAAGTTCAGTCAACGTATGCTTTGCAGCCAAAGTTAAACCAAACCCACTTGATGGTATAATAATAATAATAATAATAATAATATCTCTGGTTAAACCCGTTGAATCAACCACGCGTTGCGTAATTAATATTAATGAGCGAAGCCTTCACCATAGTAAGATTGTAGGCACGTTAATCATACCGTTGTTAAGTATTTGATGAATTGGAATATATAAATAGCTGTAATATCAATGTATGCAATTTATAATGCAACGAGACATTTTACTTGTATAAACATGAATATTTTGTGGTTTTTGTAATAATAATTAATATTAATTATATTTCAAATATGAAAAAAATAATAAAAATGTGTCAAATAAATAGCTATTTTTAAATAGATAGTTTTTGTACCACAATGAAAATAAAAATATGAATGCCTAAAACTATCCATAATTTAGAATGATTAAAATGGTGTTTATTATAAATGTTTGAATTTATCATATTTATGCGATCAAATAATAATAATAAAAAAAAGTTAAATCTTGCATTTTCTGTTTGGAAATACTAGTTTTATGTTTTAGACAGAAGTGGCTAGAAGGGATAGCGATGTCCGATTCATGAATGAACTTTTCTATTGAGTCGAATCTTTTCAATGAACTGGTTCACAAAAACTGTTAACAGAACTGACCTAAATGACTCATGAGTCGCTTTGAATCAGACTGAGTAGTTCTCGAACAGTTCTCTTTTTTTCCGTCTATGAACCGTTCAGTGAGAGCATTTGGAGTGAAGTGAGAATTTGACAAATTTGACAAATAAGATGAATTAATAAATAGACAAATAGCAGAAATAATACAATAAAACATACTGGAACTATTCTGGCGTGATGGCATTTGTGTATGGCAGGTTTAAACACGTCCAAACCAAAAAAAAAAGTTAAATCTTGCATTTTCTGTTTGGAAATACTAGTTTTATGTTTTAGACAGAAGTGGCTAGAAGGGATAGCGATGTCCGATTCATGAATGAACTTTTCTATTGAGTCGAATCTTTTCAATGAACTGGTTCACAAAAACTGTTGACAGAACTGACCTAAATGACTCATGAGTCGCTTTGAATCAGACTGAGTAGTTCTCGAACAGTTCTCTTTTTTCCGTCTATGAACCGTTCAGTGAGAGCATTTGGAGTGAAGTGAGAATTTGACAAATTTGACAAATAAGATGAATTAATAAATAGACAAATAGCAGAAATAATACAATAAAACATACTGGAACTATTTTGGCGTGATGGCATTTGTGTATGGCAGGTTTAAACACGTCCAAACCAATTTAAGGCAAATTATTTAAACAACTGTTTTGCCTTTGTTTGTTCATTTTAACGGTATATGTTTTTGACGCTATTATGATTTTATTTTTTTAATTTTAAGTGTTGTGTTTATTGAGACGTGTTGTGTTTTTCATTCAAGCCATACAAGAACATAAAGCAGGCCGGGTTAACCTTACTGTACTCAACACTGATTACTGTCCCTTTCAAAATCCTTCATCGCTTGAATTAAGATTATGATCATTTAATTTTAAAGCACAGCCAGCACAAAATCAGACTTTTTCTCAGTAACTGATTACAATTACATTTATTTTGCAATTAAATTACGTAATTTAGTAACATGTAACTAGTTCCTCCCCAGCACTGCTTGTGAGGCGGCAGCGTGTTTCTGCGCTCTGCTCGTGTTGTTGCAGGACTCGGTTCCTCCGGAAGGTGGCGCTCTAGTGGCTCGACACTGACGCTTCAGCAGCGCGGGAAGAAGGAACCAGCCGGAAGCGGAAGTGCAAACATGGAGGCAGCTGTGTTTATTTCATCCCTCGTCGACTGCTGTGTTTTAATATTCCTCTCCGTGTATTTCGTATCCTTCCTAAACTCTCGAGCTGAATGAAGATGTGCGTCAGTGAGCGCGTCGTGTTCGCAGCAGCTGCAGGCTGTGATTGCGGCCAGATGCTGGTTGTTTAGGTTCTGTTTGTCATTCAGGAGGATTTATCTGTATAATGTGTGTTTCTCTGCATTACTGTGTTTTACTAGGATTGAGTGAAGGGTGAAATGTCGTTGATTTCTCCTGTTCTGCGTTGAGGAAGCTCATAATAACTGTGACAGATTGCGTTGTTGTTATTAATGATCTGTATATTATCTCCTTAACTCCATGCTCAGATTATCACTCTGTCTGATCTGGAATGCGACTACATCAATGCTCGATCCTGCTGCTCCAAGCTAAACAAAGTGAGTCTGGACGGTGAGGCTGATGGCAAACTTCTTTCTTTACAGTTCAGTTATTCGAGAACATATGTACAGTGGGGTTCAAAATCTGAGTTGTTGTTTTTTTACTTAAACATTGAGCAAATTAAATGCAGCAAAGACAGTGAATGTAAACATGAGGATTCTGCACCAGTGCTGTAAATAAGTTCATTCGTGACATTGATCACATGAGTCTTTGAACAGACAGAATGAAGCACAGTGTCGTGCTGGAGAACATGATCGTCAGGTTTTGCTCAGCTCGAGGGTTTCTGTCATTAAAGCAAAGTTTCAAGTTTTTGAACAGTAAGATTTTTAATATTTTTTTAAAACAAGACTCTTTTGTTCACCAAGCATACATATATTTGATTCAAAATACAGCATAAACAGTAATATTGTGAAATATTTTTACTATTTAAAATAGCTGTTTTTTATGTGAATATATTGTAGAATGTCATTTATTCCTGTGATCAAAGCTGTATTTTCAGCATCATTACTCCAGTCTTCAGTGTCACATGATCTTCAGAAATCATTCTAATATGCTGATTTGCTGCTCAAGAAACACTTCTGATTATTATCAATGCTGAAAACAGCCGAGTAGAATTTTTTTCAGGTTTCTTTGTTGAATAGAAAGTACAAAAGAACAGCATTTATCTGAAATGGAAATCGTTTGCAACATTATAAATGTCTTTATCATCACCTTTGATCAAGTTAACACATCCATGATAAATAAAAATATTGATTTCTGTAATTTCTTTCCCGGAAAAAAAATAATAAAATACTGACTGCAAGCTTTCGAATGGTATAGTGTATAGTTACAAAAGCTTTTTATTTCAAATAAATGCTGGTCTTTGGATCTTTTTATTCATCAAAAAATCCTGAAAATGTACTTAACTGTTTTAGTTATTGATAATAATAATCAGAAATGTTTCTTGAGCAGCAAAGCAGCATATTCCTGGGACGTTTACAGGTGATTCAGCCCAACCACACCTCACTCACTGCATATATAAACCCAAGGAGCGCTCCAGCTAACTGTCGGTGGTGTGTGTGAGCAGATACGTGAAGGTTCCCATGGGGAACATGGGAGTGTACGATCCCACAGAGATTCACAACAGAGGCCAGCTCAAGTCCCACATGAAGGAAGCCATGATCAAACTGGGCTTCCACCTCCTCTGCTTCTTCATCTACCTGTACAGGTAAAACACACACAGCCTTTGAAGCTCATTCTGGCCAAGAAGCGTCCACTTAAACAGGAAGAGACTGACGTTTGGGTCGCTATACATTTGAAAATGCAGCTGACATCAACCGCATCTGTTGTTAACAAAAGAGAAGCTTTAAGCTCTATGCTTAAACATTTAAAAAGGAAAGAAATTAAGACGGATATTTGTAGCTTTACTGTAAGTTTTACAGTTGTTCTAATAATAATTAATATGATTAAATAATAGTAATAATTTAGTAAAAAATAGTATTGCAATAGCAAAATTTCTTTAAGTAGTAATAAAGTAATAATAATAAAAATTAAAATTACTATTATCATTGTCAGTATTTTGTTTATTAATAACTACAATAACAGTAATAATTACTACTGTTAATATGTATCATTATTATATTATTATACTTATTCAGCGTATTTTATAATTAAAAAAAATAATAATGAACAGTACTACAAATTATTATTATTATTGTTGTTATATGGTCATATTGAGCAGGTGAAAAAACGTTGGTTTTCTGTGTTTTTTTTGTTTTTTTTACCTTGGTTGATCACACGCCTGCATACTGCATTCAACAAAACTTCATCAAATCACACAGAGTCTAGAACTGAACTCTCAATCTGAATCCACACATGCCTTTCAGTGTTCAGATGAAATGTTAAAGAGCTGCTTAACAGTAGCTGTAGTTTTAAAGGTGACATATCATGAAAATCTGACTTTTCCAGGTTTTAAGTGCTATAATCAGGTCCCCGGTGCATCTACCAACCAAGGAAACGTGAAAAAGATGAACCCAGTAACTTTGTTTTGAGAAGCCTTTTTCTGCAAGCGTCTGAAAAAAACGAGCGCGTCTGATTTCGCTCACTTGGTGACGTGGCAAAAGGATCTCATTATAATATTACCGCCCATTAATCTGTAAATGTAATACACCCACAGCGCCGTCATTGTGTTTTCGAAAGCGACAACAGTGTACCAGCTCTAATGCCATGGCTAAA